TCAATGAAAATTTTAGACCATTCCAAGATATGATCATAAGTTGATTATATTATAAGTAATAGCATCATGATCCTTACATATACTTTAAGTAATAAACATATAAATTTATCCAAACTTGAACTCTCTAATAATCTTCTAAAAAATAATAGATTTTTTATATTTGATAAAGGGCAATTTTAAAGATCTCATGTACTAATGGTAATTTCAAAACTCATTAATCACTTAAATAACTTTAAGTTAACAAAAAAAATCCAAATTGTATGGGTAGTTTTGAATTGTTTAGAAAATAACTATTATTATAATTGAACTATATACAAATTGGAGGGGTAGTTTTGAATTTTTTAGAAAATAATTATTATTATAATTAAACTACACAATAAACAAATAAAATAAGGTAAACATGTGATACGAACCAAGGACCAATGGTGTACCACACTATTCATTACTATCAGCTTATGTCCGTTTCTGAAAAAGGGTATGTCGCCATTCCTTTTTGACCACTTCACTTTGTCAACATGTATGGGACTTTTCGGTATTGTATTGGTTTTTGGTTTAAAAACAAAAATACGCTTTTGTCAATCTATTTCAAAAAAGGATTGTACTATGGGTTTAAACCAAAGTCCATAGCTATTTATTGCATTAAACTGACCAAGTCCTCGATAGCTTATATACTTACATTTATATGTTTGTATTACATCATACTAATAGACTGCACAATAATATATCGAACCAAACATATGTACATCTAGCATGTTTTGCTGTAAGTTACAATCCAAGCTAAACAAAGACATCTCCCAAATAACAAATGGAAACGAACATATGCATAAAAGATAAATAGAATGGCCATTTCAATTGCAGGATACAACATAAAATAGCAATGTACTTTCCAAATGGATCCCTTCTACCCATGTTATTAACTCAGAGATTGAATTCTTAAATGAAAGTAACATGCTCTTTTTTGGATTAAAAATGGAAGTATCTTGCTATTTTGCCCTAAATATGTAAAGAGCATGCCATTTTTTTGGCTTAATTCCTGTCACGTGATTTGCTTCTTGAAAATTGCACATTCAAACCTGTCAATCAAAATGAAAATATGTTAAACTATTTTTTTTATTCATGCTTGCTGAGAAACGACTTAAAATATGCTAAACAAAAACTTTATAACGACGAGCACTCAGATTGGGATAGTCACCTGTATATATAAAAGTGAAAGTCATTACCTTTTGACAAAAAACAAAAGTTAAAATGTGATGGATATGAACTCTTCTGACCAAAAAGATTAGAAGAATCTAAAAAAAATTATAAAGTTTTTGAAGTTAAAATAATTTGTATGAGCGTTAAGCTCTGTATCAACCATCCCTCAGCCTTGCAGTGATTCCTTCGATTATGATGCTACCCAATAGACCCTCTACTGAAAGCAATAAAAAAAATACCATATTTACTTTTTCATAATGATTTTTATTAAATCTTGATCCATTGATGTCTTTTAAACCAGCTCATCTATTGAAAACAAACACATTCGTGTGTGTGTGTGTATATATATATATATATATATATATATATATATATATATATATATATATATATAGAGAAAGGGGAGAGAATGATAAAGGTCATGGTGAAGGGGATGAAGAAGATATGGTATGGGAAGACGATTTACCCTGTTTCTTTCTATGTAACCCACATCTGGGTTTAATCTCTTTGCAGACTCACAACTAATTACACATCTTACAACATTTTCAAAACTCACCACGTATTCGACAGTCTTTTGAGTGGTTTAGAGAAAACATTCAAATATGAATTTCCAGTCTTTTAAAGTATCTTAACAGGGAGATGATGTACGAAAACACCTTCACACCCAACAAACACATCTTATGTCCCTTGGCCCTAATGATTACCAACACAATCAACCATACACACAATTAAAAGGTGAGACCTCGCAAGTTGGCTCTAACATATTCGCGCAAACCTAAAGTTTCAGAAAAATGTTAAAACAAACAAGCACAACAAAGACACAAACAAAATACAAAACCATTAAAAAAAGAACTAATTTTCCTATTACATGTTAAACAAAACAATCATAGAATTATGACTATTACTTACACATAAATACCAAAAAGAAATATATGATTACTAAAATCAGTCCCATACCACAAATCTAGCACCAACATCTTATGGAAGCATGACAACAGGGGTGCCAATTTCCACCTCATGTTCATCTATTTCACATGCATTAAGACCAAAGAAGAACGAATTGCTAAAGAATCTAAAACTATCAGTACATCAAAAATTACATGGTCCCACTTTACCTAATAGGTTGGTATGTATTATAAAGATCGTATCTTGCATTGGAGCCGTAAAAAGAAAAGTACCAAACACCAACCAAGAACGGACTCATTGTAGTATTTGCTTTCTTTTTGTAAATTTAAAATTAATGAAATAGATACCTCAATCGGATCGATTCTGTATAGGGCAAATTGATTATGGGTTTAAAAATTTAGAAACAGAGGGAGAAAGAGGGCAAATTGATTATGGGTTTAAACAACCAAATGAATGAAGAAGAAGCATTGAAAACTAACGTGTATCTTTCACAACATAAACAAAGTATTTACCTTTTTTGCTGGAGAGTGGCGGTTGTGCTGGAACATAAAAACAAACCTCATTTGTTAGAAGAGGGATCGAATCAAAATAACATTTATATTTGGAACTTACGTATCATTCGATTCCTCTTTCTCTAGACCGTATCTTGCATTGGAGCCGTAAAAAGAAAAGTACCAAACACCAACCAAGAACGGACTCATTGTATTATTTTCTTTCTTTTTGTAAATTTAAAATTAATGAAATATATACCTCAATCGGATCGATTCTGTAATAAATTGAAAGAAACAGAGGGAGAAAGATGGCAAATTGATTATGGGTTTAAACAACCAAATGAATGAAGAAGAAGCATTGAAACTAACGTGTATCTTTCACAATATAAACAAAGTATTTACCTTTTTTGCTGGAGAGTGGTGGTTTTGCTGGAACATAAAAACAAACCTCATTTGTTAGAAGAGGGATCGAATCAAAATAACATTTATATTTGGAACTTACGTATCATTCGATTCCTCTTTCTCTATGACTACTTTTCACACTCGGAAAGTAGCATCAAATTCTACAAATAAAAAAGATGATCATTATCGAGAAATAATAAAAAAGATAAGATAACTAAAAATTAATATATATATATATATATATATATATATATATATATATATAATGCTTAGGTTATTTTGGTTTTACTAACTATTATGTGTGAGAATGCACAGATCTGGACCACCGGATGAATAGAATCAACAATCATGATCTGATGGTTTATGATATTACAATAGGGTAGCATGTATCATATAATCACACAAATTTCAACAAAATGGTATTTTGGTCAACTAACCTATTTTAAAAAAGGAAATTTTCGGATTTTAAGGGATCATTAATTCCTTTATTTTTTAAAATCTGAATTTTTTAAATTAATTCTAATTAAAATTTAATATTATTTTTAATAATAACCGATTTTATTCTGTCAGAATGACAAAAAGTCAACAATAAACTAGTAAATATATTTACGGTTTTATTCTTGCAGAATATGGTTTCATTCACAATACTTTTTATATTAAATATGCTTAAAGAATTATACAACATATTATCAAGAATAATATTTTCTAAATAATACGAATTTTATTCTTTAAAAATCACTATTTACATTCATCCGTAAAGAATAAGACTATAAATAATTATTACATTCATTCTAAAAAATTATGACTAATAATGGTTTAAGGAATACATTTATTCTTAAATATTAAAACTAAAATTGGTTAAAAAAGAAAAAAAAACATCAAAATCTAACAAAAACACTAATCCATTCCGAAAAAATATTATTGTTAAGAAACATTTTATACATTCTAGCATAATACATTTTGCAAGAATACACTCTAGTTCTCCATGTTTTTTCTCCTTTTCCACATCAATGACAGTCTCTTCAAAACCTAAATCCACAAAAAAAAAAAAAAAAAAAAAAAAAAAAAAAAAAACATAATGAGCTTTCAGATATTAAAAAATTCAGAGAATTCTACAAGAATAAAAACTATAAATTCTGATAAAATGTAGTAGACATTAAACAATTTTAATTTATTCTAATAACATGCATTGGTAGTTATTCTGCTAGAATATATTATCGTTATTCTAAGAACATGCATTACTCGTAATTCTGCTACAATGCATTACCAATTAAACAAATATACTTGTTATTAACAAAACATTCTTAAAGACATTTTGATAAAATGCATTTCTATAAATAAGTTCTGACAAAATACACACAAGTTTTAACTTATATTCTAATAGAATTTATAACATTTTTTTTTTATAAAATAAAAACACCAAAATAACATAACTACAGATATTAACATCAATTCTAAACGAATATTTCATTTCTATTTGTTGCTTAAACTTCAATTCCTTAAGAATTCTAACAAAATATTATCTATTTTACTTCTAACAGAATATTTCAACACAAGTATAAACATGTTACCTTAACATATTCTGACAGAATCTTCCCAATAAGTCCAACATATCAAACTTGCCTCTTTTACACAAAAACTTTCTTTTTTTTGACGTTATATCAAACAATTGGAAGACATGTTTTATTATCAAAATTCAAAAAACGCAACAGTACAAGCAACGTTCAAATGTTTTATTATTGACATTCAAAAAACGCAACAGTACAAGCAACATTCAAAAGCATTGATAACAGAAAAAATTGATTCTTGATTATGATTCACTTCCAAAAATCAAAACTAGTAGATAGAAAATTTGAGTGCAATATTTCAATATTTTCTTAGGATTCAAGCCCTAAAACAGAATAAGACAGGCCAATTCCATTATTGAATTCTCAGATTGGAAATTTGTAATCATACAAACAAATTGCGAAATAAACCAAAACTAAAAATATAGGAAAGTAAAACCACACCTGGATTGAAGAAAGAACAAATTCATATCGGCTAAGTTATGCTCTGGTGATAGCGGCTAATGTGAGGGTGGAAAATTTCTTTGTCAACGATTGTGATTAACAAAGATGACGATGGTGGTGAGGTCTAAACCCTGGAAATTGCACAGGGGAACAATTTTAGCGGGTAGAATCAGACCTTCAGACATTGAAGGTGGAATGGCAGCCACCAAGCAAGTTGACTAACTTCTTTTCCCTTCTTGCTTAATGGTCGACGAGTCGGCGACTGATAAAGGGTTGTTGTTGGCGTTGATTGAAAAATGGAGATGCATACTGTCGAGGGAGAAGAAAGACATCATCAGGAGAACCAACATATGAATACTGTGATATAGAATTAGGGTTATGAGGATGAAGGAACCGTGATTTAAGGGATCAAATACATGATTTTGAAGGTAATTAAAGATTTTAATAATTTACCATAAATAATTAAAGCTAAGTTACTAATATACCCTTATCAATTTAATTAATTAATTATTATTTCTTTAATTCTCATTGGTTCCTAAAAGCACACAATAATTATCAACAACATATGAACCTTGCTCTCTCTCTCTCTCTATATATATATATATATATATATATATATATATATATATATATATATATATATATATATACACACACACACACATTAAAAAATAAATCTTGATGTCACTTTCTCGACCCTTGTTCATATGTTCCAGTAATGCAAGTCCTGTTTCAAGGTGGGCACTCATGGTTTCCCATTTAAATAACAAGTTGAGCCTTCATATAATATCACTAATATGACACCATCAGTTAGAGAATGTAATTGGTTACGCTTAAGTAAATTATAATATGATGGAAAAAGTTGAAAATAATTAAGATAACAACAAAATTGCATTTTCTGATGAACAACTTTATATCACAGAAGTACCTTAATATTTGATAACAAGAGAAAGGATTGCTCTGCTTCTGACTGCCAATTTTGTTACTGATTCATGGTTGCAGTTATATTGAATTTCATCATTACCATGACGAAAGTTGTATAAAAAAGAGCATCAAACAAACCTAATTTGCCAAAGTTTAAGTCGGTGGTTTATAGGCCTGAATCATGACCAATAAGTAGTAAAGAATTAAGTGACAAGAAGAATAAAATTCTGAAAACCCATTTAAGCAAAACATCAAACACCTTGTGTGCAACCTAATTGGAAGCTTGGATGCTGGAAATTGACGGACCTTAATCACGCACAAGGAACATATACAGATAATGTGAAGCAGAAACATGATTGTAGAACCTCTGGCCTCATGTGATGAAGAAGCATGCGACGCTTATTGCGATTTTACACTTCCTGCCAAAAAGGGAAGCATGATCATGAAAATGCTTTGCAATATAAAAAATCATATGGACCATTGCAATATAGGCCATTTTTTATAATTTAGTTAATATGACATTCTTGTGCTTCATAACTGATAGTTCTAAGAAAGACGGTTTCTATTGTTTTAACTTATAAACATGTATGATCCTTCACCATATGGACAATAGAGATCATTCAAGAAACATGTTAAAAAATATGAATACGAAGAAAAATGATTATTACCAAAACTAACAATTATGCCAAAAATACTCAAGTAAACTCCAATACATAGATTCATATTTAAGAATCTACTTACTTGTTCCCCACGTGAAACAATCCCTCTGACCCAGATCCTAGTATACAAAACGACTGCCAACTTTCACCCCTATTTCACAAGTGAACCAATTTAAAAACCCTAGATGAAAAATGTAAATTCGAATCCTGCCTTGAGTTCGAATTAACGGAATTGTATCCTTACATTCGCACAATTGTTGAAAAAGAAAATAAGAGTTGTCGCATGAAGGAAAGGCGGTGTAGGATACACCTTTTAATTAATGGACACATTTCTTTAAGGAATCAGGAGATGGAAAGATGGAAAACGCCGACAATGAAGCAAAACCTATTATGAATTCACCTGTCGCAAGAAATGGAGAATTTCGAACTCTCTTGTTAAGAAGCAATCACAACAATTTCTCTCGAGCATTTCATCAAGCAGTGGTAGGCGAACCTTGAAGTAGAGATTTAGATAAAAATAACATCCATAATGTAAATTCCGAATAGAACATCAACCAAATACTCCCTCCTCCCAATATTACAGTCCACATACAAAAAAACACGCATATTAAGAAAAACATTAATTACCACTAACTTTATTTAATAAAATGACAGTTTTGTCCTTACTTTGCATTTAATGTTCCATTAAATGCTTAGTTGGTTAAGTAATAACGAGGGGGTATTATGGTAAAAATGTTATTTATTTTTAAAAATGGACTATTATTTTGAGACAAGCCAAAAAGGAAAGATAGACTATAATTTTGGGACGAAGGGAGTATAAAACTAAACTAATGAAGTCAAAAATCTTAAAAAGAACATCCATAATGTAAATTCTATTCGAATAGAATGTAATTTCTGAATAGAACATCAACCAAATAAGCTGCTATTTGAACAAAGGGATAAGCAATCAACTATCTACACAAAAAAAGTGTAGTTCATTCATGGGGGTGTGAAGTCAGATATTTAACAACATAAGAGAGAGAGAGAGAGAGAGAGAGAGAGAGAGAGAGAGAGAGACGATGAAGATAACATAGTCTTATTCATGAAGATTAATGATTCACAAGAAGAGGGGGATGTTGTGTTATATTGCAGTATTGGGAAACCCAAAAAGCTTAGTGGGATACATGTGTTTTTGGATGGGAAGTTCGTGAACACGGAACCCAAGACAAGCAATGGTGCAAGTGTATCAAAGAGGCTAAAACGAGGGATTTCTAGACCGCCCAAAATATGAACCCCAAAAAATCTAAAATCAACCAAAAAATTTAAAGACATCCCAATTGAAATAACCTAAAACCATGGATCCTCCGCTATATATCCGACCAAACAAGCAAAATTCAACTAAAATTCACCCAAAATTCAGGAAAATTCCCTCACAAATACTTGCTAAATTATCAATGCATCTAGGTCATTCACTTTGCACAAATTCTAAAAATAGAGGCTTTATATATATATATATATATATATATATATATATATATATATATATATATATACATCATAGTCCTATATAGACAAAATTGCAAAAATGGTCCCTGTGGTATGCAAATTTTTGGAGTTTAAGTCCAAATCCCGAGTTTTTTGAATTCATGGTCCTTTTGGAGTGGTTTGTATGTGGAATTGGTCCTCGGACTTAACACCCGTTAAAAAGGATCTGTTAACCCCCTCATGTGCCTCACATATGAGGGTATATCAATCATTTCATATGTAAGGGGCCATTTTTTCATAAACCTTTTTTGGCTTATTTTGACCTTTCCCCCTCATTTACTTTCCCCGACACTCGTCAACTCCCTAAATCCCTCCTTCTTGCTTCTACTCCATTGAACCTACAAAAAACCCTTATTACTTATCTAAACAAGTTAATTGACGCAACACATACAAGGCCATACGTTTAATTCGAAATGGTGTTCGTAATGTGGCAGATCAGACCAAAACATGAAGTTGTTGACGTATCAACCGTATATGGTAAGTTGCTATGTTTTCTTTAACTTTCATATTTTGCATTTTCTTATTGATTTAGAACAAAAAATGCAAAATTTTGACTTTGTTATCATGTACAATTTTGATTTTTAGCGGGTGCACCCACATGGTTTAGTATTAAGCTTGATCACGGTGGGAAATTTACTAAGTTACCTGATATAAAGTACATTGGAGGTGAAGTGCGTTATGTTGATTATGTGGACATAAATGAGTTTTCTATACATGAACTTGATGCCATAATGCTTGAACTAGGTTACCCAAACCCGTAGATGATTAAATTTGTTGATGAATCCCCAGTGATACACTACCATTTTAGGATACCCAATGGTGACTTTCGATTTGGTCTTAGAGCTTTAGGGAATGATTAGGATGTGATAAACCTTTCTAAATGCATTGTACATAACACACTTATTGAGGTGTACATAGAGCATGGGAAGACAAATTTACTGACTTACTTTATGTCTCCAAATGCAAAGGGTAAAGTTGTCATTGAGGAATTACCAGAAAATGATGATCAAGGGGCTGAAGTTGAGGGTCAAGTTCATGTAGAATCTCCATCGAAAAATATGAACCATGTTAATGATGAGCCTATTGGTGAGTACATGTCTCTGATTCTTTTTTGGGAGTAAGAATGATACTTTCTCACCAAGGGACTGAAGTTTAGCTTCAAATTGTCATCCTTCAATGCTTTGCAATTTACCACCAACATGTTGTTCCTGCATATCAGTCCATTGCATTGATCCTCTAGCATGTTCACACTTCTAACCAACTCATTGCACCGTTCCTGCACTGAATTCAAATTTCTTAGCAGACCAAGTATGATGGCTTTAGCCCTAGCACACATTGGGGGATCAAGCCACCCGATAAAACCCACATACGGAATCATTTATATGGTATACAAAATATCTCCTTCATGGATTCAGAGGGGTCCAAGACGTTTTCACCACTACAAGTTTTCCACAAAAAATAGAACCATTGTTTTTGTAACAGAGCTCAAGAAGAAGAAAGGTAGAAAAAAGAGACGTTGGGGAACGTTGGGGAAGAAGATAGCAGGCAGTGGGGATCTTTAAAAGGAATTAAGCCAAAAAACGATTATGCAAAAATGGTCCCGTACATATGAAATGACGGATATAACCTCACTTGTGAGGCAAATGAGGGGGTTAACAAATCCTTTTTAACGAGAGTTAAGTCCGGGGACCAATTCCACATACAAACCACTCCAAAAGGACCATGAATCCAAAAAACTCGAGGTTTAGACTTAAACCCCACAAATTTGCATACCACAGGGAACATTTTTGCAATATTGTCTCCTATATATAAGGGATGGTTCAAATGAATATGGTAAATAAAGTGAATACATGAAGACACAACTTTATGTTATTTTTCTTTATGAATTTTATATATTTGTAATATTGTAATAAATCCTAATATAAATATTAAAGTATGAATATTCATAATATTTATTTGTATTAATTTATAATGTGAATATTAACATATGATTATTCATATATTCATTATTGAATAATGATATACGAAAATATATACAAGATTGGTAAAAGAAAAATAACATAAAAATAGCATGTTCACGTCGTTACTTTATTTAGTGTCTTCATTTGAACATAAATATATATATATATATATATATATATATATATATATATATATATATATATATATATATATATATATATATATATATATATATATGAGGTTCAGTTTTGGAGGGACGATTTCTAGGGTATAACTACACCTAGGGATGTCAATTTGGCTCGATCCGGTGGGGAACCCGGTTCACCCGCCCCGATCAGGGATGGGTATTCCCGCAAAAATGGGTATCGGGTATGGGGTTAGGGATCCCCGTTAGGCTAAAACCGGAGAAGGAACCGGGGCCGGATATACCAATCTCCAACCCACCCCGCCCCCGCTTTGATGACATTATATATATATATATATATATATATATATATATATATATATATATATATATATATATATATATATATATATATATATAAGATATTAAATTATATAAAATATTTTGATAATTGATCAAATAAACTTAATATAAGCCCATTCGACATTCAAAAAGCAAGTATATCGTCCAATACTTCAATATGGCACTTATCATTTACCAAAATTCTAATCCCAATATTGCTCCAAGAGTCTGCCGCTGTGAATAGATCTTCCAAGCTTCATTCCTTGTTCCAAGAATACGTACGTCAATCTATTTTTTTCCCATCGGTATGTATTTTTTCATGTGTTTAATTGTTGTCTTTCTTGTTTAACTAATGACTTAATGGGTTCTCTATCTTTTCGTTTTCTGATAAGTATGTGCTTTGTTTCCTTAATTCAAACGTGAAGTATAATCACTAATTTGATTACGTTACACTTGTATCGAAAGCATAAGTTGCTTAAACTCTTGCTAAATTAATTCTTGAATATGTTGAGAATTTAAAATAATGATAAAGATTGTTAATCCATGTAGTAATTAAAATCAAATTTTAATACATATTGTTTTTTAATCTAAGTGATAACCAACTTATGTTTTATTTGGCAAAGTGATACAAATTGTATGTGTTTTTTTTAGGTTCAGATGGCTACTTCAGATATTGATAAACCACCAACCATGAGTGACAAACACGATGATGATAATGAACAAGAACCTCTAGAAAATAATACAACGACTAAGAATCTCAAAAAAAAAGTTGAAATCCGCTGCTTGGAACCATTTTGATCCGACTTTATGTTGCTGGTGTTCGTAGATGGGCGAAGTGCATACATTGCAAGAAATAACTGACCGGTAGATCTAATGGATGGAACAACACATTCGAAAGTTCATTACATGATATGTCTTAAGAAAAATACAAGGGACATTTGGCAACATATATTAGTTCAAGGGGAAAAAAACCTGGTAAAGCTTATATGAGTAAATATTCCTTTGATGCTGAAGTATCTAGAGATGAACTAGCAAAGATGGTAATAATTCATGATTATCCGCTCTCCATTGTTGAACATTAAGTCTTCAACCTTTATTTAAGGTGCATTGTCGTAATACAGTTAAGAGGGATATAATGAAGGTATACGAGGATAAAAAAAATGTCATATCTTGAAATGTTTTGAAAGGCACGATAGTACGATTTCTCTCACGTCTGATATGTGGATAGCAAGTAACCAAAAGAAAGGTTACATGACAATCACAACATATTATATAGATTGCAACTGGACGTTACAAAATCAAATTATGAGGTATTTACTCTAATTAGTGTTATTATTTGTAATTTATATTGGATGAAGTTTTGAAGTGTTATATTTGGTTTCATGCAACTTTATACATGTGTCATCTCCACACACTGCTGATGCATTGTCACAAGATATGATGGAATGCTTTTTGGAGTAGAACATTGACAACAAGTTGTCAACATTAACACTTGAAAATTGTTTAACAAATGATGCCATCCTCGACAAGCTTTTAGGTACACTTACTAGCTCATCGCTAATTTTGAAGGGGAGAATATTTCATATGCGATGGTGTGCA